CCCAGAACCATCTATTTACGCAAGAAACTATGCCTATAAGCTCTTTTCCAGGTTGCAGTGGCCAGTGTAGAATGTGACAAGTAGTATAAATTCGTCCTTAGAGAGGTTAATAACATATTTAAACCTGCTTTAGTTCTTGCGTAGGTCCTCTGTCTACTCATTCTTTCTTGTGGAGCAATAGAGCATCTTCAAAACAAATGCAAAGCTTTTTATGGGGAAACTATCGGTCGTGGCTTTCTCGACGATATTTCGGAGGTTGCACAAATAAAACTTTTTGTGTTGTTGAACTGCTTCAGAAGCACGGGGTGATTCAGAGAGCATAAAATAGAGGGAGGAAGTTTTAGTTTCGCCTGTTTCACAACCAATCTCCTAAAGATCCAGATTCATCGTCAAAAACTCACTTCACGTACATACCTACCTACCATCAATACTTACGGTTTATAAGTGTTACAACGGACCGACGTTCTCAGCTGTTCCTTATTAGCTCTTATCATAGCATTAATCTGTTAACTTAACTTAGCAACTAATAAATTTGATGTTTTAAGCAAGATTCAAGATTCTTCGATGAAATGGGAAGAAATGGAATAGTTCGCAGGATAGAAACTTAGTATATACTTGAGAACGCCAGGTTATAGTTAAAATTGATACTTATGTATATAGTATTCATACTTCTGAAACTATTGAAGGCGCTATCAGTTTGTATTAAAAGAGTAAGCGTCAGGAAAAAAGAACCTATACACTTCGGCAAAATTCTATCAAAATTTCTTTGATGATTATAACTTCCACCAGGATGACAAATCCGAACCAGTCAGAGGCTTTTATATAACCCAAAAATTACTCTACTGAAGTTGATATTCACCTTATTGTCCAGACAAAATTTGTTTGAATAATGGCAACGGAAAAGTAAAAGTAAATCTTAACGCAAGTAAGCCGAAAACTTAGTTTTAGCTATCTTGAAGCAATATGAAAAGTTTCTTGATATGACAAATGTCACAAAAACTATATTTCTACCTGTTTCTCTACAGATTTTACATCACTTGATCTGTGCTTTCAGAGGGCGAATTATTCATGATGAAGACATTTATCCCCAGGAAAACAATTTTTTTAAGAATGATTAATATGGAAGAATTTAGATCCTATCAGAATCGTTACTTTTTAACATTTTATTGCAGATTAATGTGAATTTTGAACGCTTACTTTTTTCAAAGGCACAAATAAACAAAGTCGTAGCTTTAGCAGGATCACGGCATATTTTTCCCACGTCTATCTACATATACAGCGACTCACAAAATTGGTCACGGTATCAATACGTACCTAAGCGATGATAAAAAACTCGTAAATGATTTGATATTTTCGAAATTTTTTATGTTTTTTTTAAGATATAATATGAAAGAATAAAACACAAGTAATATTTCATTTAACAATAACAAATAAAAGCAATAAAGAAACTAAATATAGAATATTTCAGTATGATCAATTTTGTGAATTAATATTAACAGGGTTAAAAATGAATATTAATACTTCGTATAACCACCTTTGGCATCTATAACGGCTTTGATTTTCCTTGGCATACTTAAACACAAATTTGCGCATGTTTCTGAGGAAATAGAATCCCACGCCTGCTGCACATTAGGCCATAATTCGCTCAATGAGCCGACTTCGCCGGCGACCGATTTTTTTAATATACCCCACAGGTGCTCGATGAGGTTGAGGTCCGGAGATTGCAGAGGCTAATCTAGTGTACTAATACTATTATCCTGGAGCCATTTGCGAGTCTCTCTAGCTGTGTACTTCGAATCATTGTCCTGTTGGAAGACAATGTCCGACCCATTTCCACCTAAGTCTCCTATAGTGCCAAGCAAATGACTGCGCAGAATTTCAATATAAGACTCTGCCGTCATTCGAGAGGCTTTTTGACTTTTGCACGGCCTTTTAGACCAGCATTTCGTAATGTTCTGCGTATTGTCTCTGCAGAAATCCTTAAATTATTATTCTTTTCCAGGCTATGGTATATTTCTACGGCATTTTCGCATTTGCCACTTCTTATACTCCTAACAACGTCCCGTTCCTGAACTGAGCTAAGAATTCTTTTACGGCCTGCTTTATTTTTAACGAATAAATCTGTACATTTTCTGCGAATTTTACTCACAATGCCAACGGAGATTTTCAGCCTTCGAGAAATTTCGCGATGAGTCACACCATCAATCAACAATTTTTTCACCTCGCCTTTAACTCCATTGGAGATAACCATGTTCTTTTTTCCCATGTCTGCCAAAGATATAAGCAACTATAGCGGCGGAAAAACGTATGCATATTTTCTCTTACCTTTTACATCTATATTTTTCAAATAATTCAAACTATTCTATTTAATGAATTCACTTTTTTGCGCACGTCCAAACACTTCGAGCGAAAGTCTCAAAATTGATCACGCTTGCCTTCTGCGTATTGTTCAAATTTTACTTTACCGCTAATTTTGGTGGCGACGTAAAACATATAGATAACGGTACATCAAACACCAAGCAACATAAGTATTCAGTCGAATTTGTGTTTGACAATGCAAGATGGAATGAAAAAAGAAATGAATATTCAACTGAAGCGTGATCAATTTTGTGAGTCACTGTATGTAGATATGAAATTATCTAGAAATATAATATCTTAGTATTGAGAAGCGTCTTACACAAATACAAGTATACATATGTATGTACATTTCTATCTGCATTTCCGTTCTCATCGAACGCTGAAAGACTTCTCATTTATGATTTCTGACAAGCCGGGTCACAGGAGAACCAAGCAAATTACTCGCCAAAGAAACGCCAATTAAAACAAAAGAAACAATCAACAGACATTTCGCAAAAACACATTCACGCAAATTACACATATCTATCCTTATGTAAATCTGTGTGTATGCATGTATGTACGAGTCATAGAAATCAAAGAGCAGGCAAGAAAAAATGCTCAGCTGTTGAACGGTCACCCTGAATGTCACACAATGTGCAAGCAATTGATGCCTGACGCCTCAGACGGCTGAATTCGAAATCCGAAGATAGCGCCAATGTAGATAAGAATGCAACAAAGAAAATGAAGCAATGCAATTTACAAGAACTACAAAAAGAACAATACTTGAAACACCGACGCGGCGTGTGAAATGGAAATTTAAGTAAAGGACAATAGAATATGGGCATTTCCTTAAACCGCTCATTAACCCAATATGCAGTCAATACTTCCGTTACCTGTGCTCGGCTGTCATAGTACTTCAAGACATTTTTGGTTGTTGCGAATCTTGTTTGCAGCTCATTAATTTCACGATGCCAAGAGACTGATTGCACGACAGTTTGTTTATGAGCAGGGCAGACGAGTTCTTCAAGGTGGTGAATGGTATCATGCTGACTTTAATGTCGTCAATGTGGCGACCATGCGCTGTGGGGTATTCTTTACCGCCTTCCTTCAAATATATTTGCGCATTTTGTACTTCTATACAAATAATACTTCCTATAAATGATTATAAAATTATTATTAATAATTACTAAAAAGTGATCCATTTGGAATATGCTATCCTATTTAGAAAACCAGAGACTTAGACTTGGCACCCTGGTATATCCCGAAATTAAACAGCAGAAAGTTAAGAGGGGAGATTTGAAAGCTGTTACTAAAGTTTCTAATTTCTTAACCTGTACAAAATTCGGCGAATAGCTCTGTCACCATCAGACTTTATAGGGCTTTGTCTATTCTGATAATGACTTAGGTCCTATAAAGCTCATTGTATTTTGTTAAGGACTATGTCATTCCATTATGTTTACCAAGTTGGTGCCAAATTCAAACATTCAGTCAAAAAAAATGATTCTTCACTTAGCATTTTCAAGGATTCCTCCTATTCCAATGCGATGATTTGGGAGTTCTTATTATACAGATTTACTCCGTATAACTTACCAATCTTCGCTAAAATAACATTTCTGGAGACAATAAATATCATCTCAATACAGTTCTGTTATTAACCGAACATCCGATAACTTTTCAACTGAACAATGTCACCGAAAGTATTATGATGACAGATGGCAATAAACAAACAAACTGTTTTCCTGCTAATTTTTATTGGAAAATAATGTAAATTTAGCCTAATGCCCGGCTCGGAATGGCCCCCCAACAGTCCATTAAGATGTCGGGGGATCTTCATCAGTTACTTCTAATTTACTTGAAATTAGTTTTGAGTTTGCTGCAAGCGGTGGCAAGGCTGTCTGTTTATCAAAGAGGTTCAGTCAGAGATTCCAACAGCAAAAGACACGAGCCATAAATACCTTCTATGCAGTAGTTAGTGATCCAATGCTTTCGCAGAAATCACCCCTTTAGAGTGAAGCCGCCACCAGGAGCATCAAGAGAATATTCCTACAACATTTCGACGGTACAGAACACCGTACAGACCGGGCAACTAACTTTAGACAAATACTCAACGCCTTTCACAGTAGGGCACTTCAATTAACACCTTTCACTACCTATCGCAGAAGAAATCTTAAGTTACCTCGCGATTGTTGAACAATTTCGTTGAGAATACTGAATTTGGATAAACTTCTACTTATCCAGAATCAAAGCCGACATACTAAACTTATATACTGTAAGTGATTTTAATAACTCACCAGTTAAATCACTTACCCGAAGGTTACCTGAAAACTGTACCAAAAATTTCTGTTAAAGTTTGAATGAGTTAAGAGGGAATTATCAAAGCTAACCGAAATGTTTTTGAAAGTTTACTTCTTTCTTACGCTAAGCTCTTATGAGATACACGGTGCGGATGTGTTAGTTTCAACGCCAATTATTTCAAAGGATTGAATCTTCGTACTTCCTAGAGGTGTTGTTAACAAAAATTATATAGACAAATAATAAAAATATTTTATATTAAAATCCTTAATTTATAATAAAATCCTATATGGTAACTCCAGCAGTACCCCAAATTCGATAACAAAATTGTGTGACTTGCGATTATTTTCGATTGCTTTCATTCTCCTCTCTATGTGCATAACAAATTTCGTGCTTACAATTTCTATAGCGGCGTGAATTTTTGTATACAACAATTCTACCAAATAATGTGTGAATGCTATACGTGAACATAAATTAAACAAATATACTTTGTGATAAAAGAGAATTACAAGTTTTTTCAAAATGTCTGCTGGTTGCTCCCATTCACGCCAAAGACAATTTTTACGCTACGGCGGCAGCATACAAGAATTGCGTGAGCAATTACATCAGGAAATCGAAAACAAAGTAAAACGTTGTTCTAACACCACCTACGAATGTTCAATACCACGTGTTGATGGCTATGAATATTGTATGCGTCACATTCTACAGGATCCGTGTGGAAACTTTCGTCAATGCACTTTTATTTATGCCAACGGACGTAAATGTGCCAATGCACTACAAAAACATGACATAAAAAAAGATCCTGCACTGACAACGCTCTGTTTCGAACATAATCGTCAAGCGCAGTTACAAAAAACGCACGCAACAGTTGGAAAATTGAAGCGCACCGATACCAACGAAGTATTGTTAAACAACTTAGCGCATCACATCAATGTTGAAGATGTGCAACCAGAGGAGCCAATTGCAGAGCAAGATGAAGAAATTGATGTGGTATCACCGCATGTGGCACCATTTGGTGTGTAGAAATTAAATATTATATTCTTTTTATATTTTTATTATATATGTATATATTTTTTAGTTGCGTACGATCAGGTAAATAGCCTTAATACTGCCTTATCCAGCATGCAGCAGAGACGGCGCATACTGGATTATGCATCTGATAGCAATAGCGAGGATAACGAACAGCCCAGTATAAACAACACTGCACGTGGTTATGAATTCAACGAGTCCGACGATGATAGCGCAGACTCGGCACCTGAAGATTTATTAAAGTAATTGTTTAACTGTGTTTTATTAACTTATATATACAATGCTTATATTACTTCTAAACCCTACAGACATGCAAGTATTTATACACGTGAAGAAGCGGTGCGTATTGCAGAAGCGAAACTCACAAAACTGCAAGGCTTATATATTGATCAAATCAATAGTTTGCATCACACGCTCAAGGAACGTCGGCGTCGATATTTACAAGCTTTACGAAAAGAACGTGAAATGTTATGTAAGTTTTTTTTTCAGCGTAGTTAATTTTTAATTTGTTTTTTTAATAATTGGTATTGTTTATTATCATTCACAGGCAGCATACATGATCAATTGAAGGACTCGCCGCGCGAACGTAAACTCTACGATCAACTGAAGGCGCTTAACACATATCATCGACGTTATGGCGTTGAAGCAGTGCTGTATAAGAAATTCAAAGAAAAGCGTTCGCGCGCTACAGATGGTTATGCACATAAAGGTCCGGGTTTTACTAAATGTGCCTTCTCTGAGGGTGGTGTTAAGTGCGGTGAACGCGCAATGCCATGCTGTAAATACTGCCGCAAACATATTATGGAAGACAAAAAACAAATACTTTTCCGCGCCTGCGAGGTGGAAAAGAGCGGTGTTGTGTGCCAGGAACCAATACCGTGCATCTTTGACGATGCATCGACTTGTATCTTGCATTTGTCTATGCCCGCCCGACGTCAATTTATACAAAAGGTGTGTTCGTCGTAAAAAACAAAATATCTTTACCTAGTACCAACTGCGCTTCATTTGCATATTGCTATGCAAAAGTTAAATAATATATAATGCGGTAAATCGTAGGTACATTTTATGTGTGATAAATAGGGTTGCATATAATGCTTTAAAAATAATTAAATTAACATACAACTAATTTTTTTTGATCTTGCAAACCCGAAATCTTAATCCAAAAGAATTATTAATCCCAAATACTGGTTTGATAAAAAAACGTTAATCTCAAAAGCGGATAAAAAATAAAAAAAATTTAATTTTGTAAATCAAACATTTTGAATTAAAAATTCGCAACCCTGTTGAAAAAAGTAAATAGTACTTAAAAATACAAAATGTATTTACAGTTTACCTTTTCAAGCTGCTTATATTTAAACAATACCAATTGTATTTTGATTTAAAAGAAACAATTATGATTATCGTTATTAAGTTTTCTACTTATTGTTTAGTTTTTTAATTTACTTTACAATTGTTGCACTGCTTTTTGATTTCAGTTTGTGAAATCTCAAACATTTTGTAATTGTAAATACACATCCGTTCTCCTCCATCTTACAGGATTACCCTAAATATGCTCCCGTATCGTGAAGGAGCGCAATACAGGGAAAGGGTAATTTAAGACTGTGACGTTGTGAAAGCAAAATAAACACATGCTTAAATATAATATTAATATAATTAAATTAAATGTCCACTTAAAATGTTAATTAGCATTGCTTTTACTATGGCCAATATGTATGTGTAATGTGCGAAAAGCGTTTCAAATATAGGTACTAATTATAATCACGAAAAGAATACAAAAAAAAAACTTAAACAATAACAAAAGTTTGCACAACCAATTAATGGAACTTAATCGTTAAGTAAATAGTGAATCTCACTATATCAATATTAATAGTATCTACCGATTACACAATGTTTTTCTTTACAGAAATATGAATCGGAAACTGAAGAGGACGATGCAAAGGAAGAAGCCAATTTCAAATCGTGCAGTCAAACGAATGTCAAAACGGAAAGTGCAGTTACAGCATCACCTACACGAAAAACGGTACAATCGCCGCAGAGTGAACCCAAGGCCACGACCTCAAAAGCCAGTGAATAGAGAAATAGTGTTCGCCTAACTAGTTTAAATTTAAAATTTTAATTTTATGATAAATGATTTTAATGTTTAAAATATATATTTTTAATATCTTATTTTAATTTAGAAAAATTTTACTTAAATAAGCGTTGCAATATTTACATGATTAATAATAAATACTTAAACATTTTTAAAATGACATAAATTATTTACTCAATATGGTCGAACATTTACATATGTATTTGTAGAAAATTAGCAACAAAAGCCATATATGCCTATTGATTATTTGCCTTGTACTTTTGCACAATATGTAAAAACTTCGATCCGGCAGCTCCAGTTTCTAACGGAAGTGTACGAGTATTTTGTAGGCTAAATCCGTTTTGTAAACAAAACCAACAATTCGAAAAATATTAAACGGAAAATTGTCAATTTCTTTCGTTTTCAACATTGAAATTAAAGCTAATAAATAAGCTGTATTAAAAAAAGAAATGTTATGAAAAGCAGTCACAAGCGAATATATGTGCAAACACAGACGTCCTTAGAAGAAACACCAACACCAAGGCAGTCGACCGACAAAAGGATCAAATTCGTTCCCGCAACAGTTGTGTCTGGAACAGAGAGGTAATTTTATACCGCCAAGGACTGTCTAATCGACAACATTCCTCCAAATTTTGTCGGTAATGTTTTCTATCGCTATCATAATAACAACAATAGAAGCATCAGCTCAGATGAGTAGCTTTCACTAAAATATTTGGGAATATTTTACGCTGCTATAAAATTATTAGTCCCATATAACTATAGAGAGAAATTGCATGAGATCGCTTTAGTGACTCGAAAATGTAAAGAAAATAGCACGACTTTCAGTAGCACAACTAGACTTACATGAGCAGCTTGAAGTGGTAATTAATTGAAAACCGTTAATTATGGTAAAAGATAGAGAGAATTTAGAACTTTGCCACGTACGGTAAAGATATTTGGGGATTCTTGACAAGTCAATGACTAAATAATTATTTGAAACCGTGCAATTCTTCCGTGACAAAAATGTGAAAATATAACCAATTAAAGATTGATTTTAATTCGTAAAAGAACAAGAATATACACATCTCAATTTGTTCTGACCAACAACCTATCTCTTCATACCATAATAAAAAATAAAAAAACAATATTTAGCATATTATAAATGTGACTTTTTAATATTAACGAAAAAAACTTAGAAAATACTCTTCTAATCTTTCTGTAAAAACTTTAAAATAGCGTCTTTAAACTCCCTGTTAACTTCAATAAATTTTTTCAGTGACTCCGCCTTTTGTCGTTCTATTTCAATTAACTGTCTCTCATTTTCTTCTGTATGCCTTAAATACTGTGTTATCTCCGCTGACAGTTCCTCGAATTTGTCCAGCACTTTCAATTGGAATTGACTCACGCCTTTCTTCTTTTTATTGGGCACGGTTACTGGCGTAGAAGTGCTTGCACGCGGAGATGCCGACGTAGAAGGGATTGGTGATGCATGTGGGGATGGCGGTACAAGCGGTGATAGGCGTGATGCACCAGATGATTCCGCTATTGGAAAATAAATTTATATATTTGTGTTATAAGGAAATTATGTTTCTTTTTTTTAAAGCATTGTGCACCTTGGATGGTTTCCAGTGTTGAATCGTAAATTGAGTTTACTTTGAAGCGCCCAATTATCTGGTGAACACGTCCATAATGTACCCAAGACGATGTCGTTTCCCCAGATTCCAACATATTCGCTTTCTCGATGCTAGTTTAATACAATATTGAAAATTCAGTTAATTTCGTATCTAAACAACATAAGTTTGAAATATCACATACGCACCGATAACGCTGTGAAAAATTGGCCAATTTCACTTGCACCTCCCGCGCATTATATATGTAACCCAACTTAGCTAATTCTTCTGATATATTTTCATAAATATGCATATTTTTACGTACTCCACGAAGCTCTACTACGCGCTCTGCCCACAATTCCAGTATGGCCAGCTCGGCACCCTCAGTCCAGGCTAATCGTTTCCTTTTAGCTTTTGGCGCTGTTATAAATGGTAAATACGCAGAAAATAGTAAATTTGCCATTTTATAATATATATTTAAAACATTATGCTTTTAATTTACTCACAAGTAACTTTTTCACTCTTCATATTGCTGCTTAATTGAACTAGTAATTAGCGATTGCCTTTTAATTACCCAAGCAAAGACAAACCTTACAGGGTTGCATGCAATATTTTATTCGATTTACATTCAATTGAATACTAATTGTGCAATGACGCTAAGCATTTCTATGCGGCAAAATGTAAAACATTATTGCTTTCAACCATTTTGTTAGTTATATTAACAACGCTGTACATTAGTTGAATGTGTAAGAAGAGATAATTGCTGAAGTTTCCATTCACACGCAAAACTGGTAATTTTGTGAAACGCACGGTGGCATTTAAATTTGCTCAGCGCATACGCACGCACACGCTTGGCATGGAGTTGCGCTTTAGCTACACTGCCATATTTTTGTATGGAATTTTAGTTTTATTTTGTGCTTTAGTTTTGTTGTTGCATTTATGTATGTACATGACTTTTTTTTTTTGAACGGAAATGAATTAGTAATTCAGTTATTATTATTAGATATGGTAAAAAAATATTTATTTATTATTATATTAACACTTTTAAACGTTATCTTGATAATATTTGCTATATCTTGCACTTTCAAGTTATAATTTAAGATATATTCAGCGATGCACATTTTTAATTCAAACAATTATTAATTGGTAAATTTTGTATATGGTTTTATAAATATATATTTTTTTTTGATTTGGGATTGAAAATTAAAAAAAAAATAAATAAATAAAATATATACAGTATTGGACAAAACTAAAGTACCCCCTACAATGGTTCATCTCGAACTTAGCTGTTTTCAAGCAATAAAATAAATAAATGTAAAATTTTGACGTTTTTCAATGGGTTGCGTTTTAATTTTTATTAAAATAAAGCTTTTCATTTTAAGTTTTCAAAATTAAATAAGTTAAATCAACAAAACCATTTAATGGTTTAAAAATTAGCTGGACAAAACTAAAGCACCACTTTCATTGGTTTGAAAATAATATCTGAAAATTAAATTTTTTGGGAAACTGAAACGCATATTTCAGGCATAGAAGAAATTAAATTATTTACTATATATCATGTGGTATGCCATTCCAAGCATTTTTTTCAGGTTCTAAAGGTTGATCCTTGGTTGTACAGTTTTCCTTACTTATTTTGGTATTAATGATCTCCCATAAGTTCTCGATGGATTTGACATCAAGTGATTATGCCTGCAAATCTTAATATGTAACTTCAAAAGTTTTTCAATGCCCACAGTTATGCGTAGGATCATTGTCCTGCTGGAATCACCATTACAGTGGCATATCCTTTTTAGTATATGGTAGCATCCCGTTTTTTAAAATGACGGTGTAAACAAGCTGGTAACTTATTCCATTTATTATATGAATATGTCCAGTCCCGTGGCCAGATAAAGATCTCCAGACCACAACATTGCCACCGCCATATTTAATGGTCGCAATATAATACTCGTACCTTGGTTTGAGTCCTTGTCCTTTCGGCCTTCTCAAACATCTTATGCCATCCGAATCTTTAATACTATACTATATTTCGATTCATCTGAAAATAAAATGGTATTCAATTTCTGAATGCTCCAATTGATATAAGCTGTCGCAAATATGACTTTTGCCTTTACATTTTTTGCTGAAGTAAAAGTCTTTCTAGCGGGACGCCAACAGAAAAACCCGCTCTCAACAGCTCGTCTTCTAATTGTTCGTGCATTAATTAGTAAACAAAAGTGTTTCTGTATTTGATTGGAAAAGATTGTGAGATAAATTTGGGTAACCTTTTTGATCAATGAATCGTCTTTTTATGTACATATGTTATGTATATGTTGTACACATTTAAAAGTAGTGTCGGGCGCTCTGCAGTGATTATGTTAAGAACTTATGCTAGGATACCGTCTGAGCCCGGTGACTTGTTAGTCTTGAGCTTAAACTAGCGACCAGGTACAGCTCTTCGAGGGTGCATTGGTATTCCAGTAATTGTGGAAATCGTATGCTCTGTTCTGGATTATTAGCCCGTTTTTCGTGTGTGGAAAGCCCCCTAGGTTTTTTTGTTAACATGCTCACATTGTTCTTCGCAGTTTTTATTTTAAGATAATATTTGAAGCTATTTTGAATATTTTCTAGCTCTTAAAATGTTAAACGAATGGAATATTGAAAATCGTTTGTAATGCAAAAGGAACTTTAGCGCCATTACGGTGGCCACCACAGGTAACCACGTATATTTTGAGGTTTTACTCCACACAGCGCCATCTTACTTAAATCATAGGTAACGTCGGCTGTTAATAAGCAAGCTATGCGATTCTTATGAAAAAAAAAATATTTGAAAATAAACAGAGCAACCGTCGATTACAGTTATGAAAGTTTAGTAAGATTCGTGAACTTCACAGTCGTGGTTGTGTGTGCTAATTTTATCTTCCCTTGTGAGAACAAAATAAATGTTGTGGTTTAATTTTTTGCAAATTACTTACTTTGTTATTATCAAAGCTGTCTCTTATACACATCTAGATGTGTATAAGAGACAGAGATATGCTTGCACCGGCCTATGTCAGCAATAAG